TTCTCCCTGTTGATGAGATTAATTTCTATTGATATGACCTATTGATTAATTTCTATTTTTCACAGATTTATTCTTCTGTCATCTCCAGTGGAGTCCAACAGTGGTGTCTTTTTTAAATTTCTGTTATTGTAATTTCAGTTTTAATATTTCCATTTTTAAAAAATATGATTATTTTGCTGGGACTTTCTAATTTTTCATCTTTCAAGCATGTTCATCTTTCTCATTGATGCATTTTTATGATAGTATCTTTAAAATTCTTCTCAAGTAATTCCAGCATATGTGTCTTTGTGAATAGAAGTGGTGAAAGCTGGCAGCCTTGTCTTCTTCGTGGTCTTAGAGGAAAAGCTTTGTCTCACCATTGAGTATAGTGTTAGCTTTGTTATTTTTGTTTTTTTGTTTTTAATACACAGTATACCTTTTACTATGTTGTGGTACTTCCTGCTATTCCAAGTTTATTGAGTGTTTTGTTGGGGTTTTTTTTGTCATGGATGGTATTCAGTTTTGTTATTTAATAAAATTTTCTGCATCAGTTGAGGTGATCGTTTTCCCTTCATTCTGTTAATGTGATATATTGCAATGGATTATCTACTGTTGAGCTATCCTTACATTCCAGGGATAAATCCCACTTGGCCATGGAATATAATCCTTTTAAAGTGTGGTTGAATTAGCTTTGCTAATATTTTGTTGAGAATTTTTGCATCTATAGTCAATCAGGGAACTTGGTCTTTAGTTTCCTTTTCTTGTAGTGTTCTTATCTGGGTTTGGTATCAGGGCAATGCTGGCCTCATAAAAAATGAGTTAGGAAGTGTTTTCTTCTCAGTTTTTTAGAACAGTTTGAGGACTGATGTTAATTCTTTTTTTGAAAAGATTTTATTTATTTATTTATAGAGAGGGGAAGGAAGGAAGAAAGAGAGGGAGAGACACATCAGTATGTGGTTGCCTCTCCTGTGCCCCGCACTGGGGACCTGGCCTGCAACCCAGGCACATGCCCTGATTGGAATCGAACAGGCGACCTTTTGCTTTGCAATCTGATGCTCAGTCTACTGAGACACACCAGCCAGGGCTGATGTTAATTCTTTAAATGATAGAATTCACCAATGAAGTCATCTGGCCCTGGGCTAAAACAACGTTTTAAAAATTATTTTTTTCTACATTTACTAGCATTTTTTTTTCTGTGATTAAGGCTTTTCCCTACATCATTTAGGTGCCAATTCCAGTTCTTCCCAAACGGGTTGAAATAATGGTAAACTCCAATATGGGAGGGGTGTTTTATTTTTAAAAAACAATACTCAATGTTTTTCACAACTAAATGCCAGGGTTTTTGTTCTTGTTGTTCAAAAAGGCCCAAGCTGATTCCTGAGATATTCTCATTAAAGTATTTTCCTACTTCTGGACCATAAAAGATGTTTCTCAGTCCTTGTTTTTTTCCCCATCCCCAGCCCTACATTCAGCCTTTTCTCCAAAAAGCATGCTGGATCAGGTGCAGGCACGAGATGTGTCCCTCTCCCCCAGTGACCAAGGTGCAGCTCTCCCACCAGCTCCCCACCAGATATGCCATCATGTTCTGCCCTAAGACACCTCAGGCATGCATGCCCAGCCCCAACTGTACCTGAGTGTCCAGGCCCTGGCTGGGCTGAACACAGGGTGGGCAGGGAGACCAGGAACCCATCCTGTGGGATGATAGGAGGTAGGACTGTGTGTGAGCTGAGGCTCCAAGCCCCCGACTGCATGCTCCATTGTCCCATCAAACTTCACTTAAAAACACAAATTCGAAGATAAAATTAAAAATTTCAAGATAGCAAAGACAAAATATTAAAGCTCAAGCAGAGGGACCTTCTGAGCCCAGAACCGTATGGAACCACAGAGACCCTGTATATTTCTATTCTTTTCATACTCAATTTTGTAATTTCTTTTTTTAAAGAATATTTTATTGATTATGCTATTAGTTGTCCTGATATTTCCCCCTTGCCCTCATTCACCCAGCGCAATCCCCCCACCATTGTTCATGTCTGTGGATCATGCATATAAGTTCTTTAGCTACTCTATTTTCTATACTATACTTCACAGCCCCGTTGCTATTCTGCAACTACCTATTTGTAATTCTTAATCCCCTTACCTCTCACCCATTCCCCATTTCCCCTCTCCCATCTGGCAACATTCTGGTAACTAACTTCTCTTGCTTTTAAGAGTCTCTCTTTGTCTTTAACCCCTTTAACCTTTGGCCTTTTAATAATGATGTGTCTTGGAGTGGGCCTCTTTGCATCCATCATAATTGGGGCTCTGTGCTTCCTGGACTTGCATGTCTATTTCCTTCACCGAATTAGGGAAATTTTCATTCACTATTTTTTTCAGATAATTTCCAATTTCTTGCTCTTTCTCTTCTTCTCTTCACCCCATATGAGGAGAATGTTGGATCTCTTCAAGTTGTCCCAGAGGTTGTTTATACTAGCCTCATTTTTCTTTATTCTTTTTTCTTGTTGTTCTGAATGTTTTTGCTTTATTTTGTTTGCTTCCTCACGTTCCAAATCATTGATTTGATTCGCGGCTTCATCCATTCTACTGATGTTTCCCTATAAATTGTTCATTTCAATTAGCGTATCCTTCATTTCTCACTGAGTCTTTTTTATGCTGCTGAGGTATTCACTAAGTTCCTTGAGCATTCTTATATCGATTGTTTTGAACTCTGCATCTGATAGATTGCTCATCTCTATTTCATTTAGCTCTTTTTCTGGAGTTTTGATCTGTTCTTTCATTTGGGTCATGTTTGTCTCCTCATTTTGGCAGCCTCCCTGTGTTTGTTTCCATGCATTAGGTAGAGCTGCTATGACTCCCTGTCTTGCTATGTGGCCTAATGTAGTAGGTGTCCTGTAGGGTCCAGTGCCACAGCCTCCTGTATCACCCAAGCTGTGTATTCGAGGTGTGCCCCCGTGTGGTCGGAGTACAGCCTTCTCTTGTAGTTGAGACTTAATTGCTTTTGGCAGATCAGTGGGAGGGACAGTCACCCTGTTGCAAAAGTTGCAAAGACTGGCTGTGACCATTGACCACCAATCTCTGCCCTTTGTGGAGGACCAGCTCTTCAGGGGCAGGGTGGCGGTGCTCTGATGTGGTCTGTAGCTGGGTGCATTGACCCTGTGGTTTCCCTGGGTGGAGGAGGCCAAGGTCAGCCCCACCTTCGCATTGCCTGGGGCCACCCTGCAGGAGCCATCTGAAATGGCTGCTACTTGTTCTGGGTTTGGACATTCCCAGGTGAAGCCAAGATGTAAATCTAACATGGCTGCAGCTAGTGCTCACTGAAGCCAGCTACTGCTTGTTTGATGGGATTTAGAAGCCAATATGAGCCATTCTTATGGAAAAGCAGGTTGGGTGGGCCTGTAAATTGGGTGGGGAAGTCTCTGTGGATGTCCAAGGTGGGTCACAGTGTTAGCTAGGTTGATGGAGTCTCCGATATGGCACCAGCCTACCAGCTTTGTAGGGGGGAGGGCTCAGCAAAGGGACAATGGCCTCTATTTGCCCGCATGCCAGACACTGCAGTCTCTTCCTGTGCACCACTGGTGCCCTTCAAGCTGCCACCCCAGTGCTGGAACTCAGAGGGAGTGAGTCTGAGTAGGTGAATCTGTGTGTGTTTCCCAAGAGGAACTACTTAGGGCTCCAGCAGCCTCCTCCAACTCAATCCCTGCTGGTTTTTGCAGCCAGTTGTGGGGACTTACCTTCCTGGCACTGGAATCCTGGGCTGGGCAGCTTGGTGTGTTTATCTGGGACTCCTTGCTCCTGAGATATTCCTCCCAAATTTTTATCCAAGTGGGTGTGGGGCCAGCCTGTTCCATGTACTTGCCCCTCCTACCAGTCTGGATGGATGTGGTTTCTTCAATTCTGTAGTTGTCAGACTTCCATTCAACTCAATTTCAGATGTTCCCGAGTGATGGCTGTTCTGTATTTTAGTTGCAATTTTGAGGTGGTTGTGGAAAGACGTGAGCCATGTCTGCTTCAGTCACCATCTTGACTTGAAACCTCTGTAATTTCTTTTTACATAAATCTGAAAAGCTCTTGTTACTTCTTGGTGGTTTTCATTTGTTTCTACTGTGAATAACTTTTCACATTATTATTTGCTAACTAGCTAGTAATGGCTATTTTAACATTTCAAATCTCACTACTTTAGTGAAATTTAGTAACAATTTCAATATCAATTCTCTTAGGTATTCTATATAGAAAAATCACCAACAAATAATAGCTATCACTTGAGCACTTAGCACTGCTAGGCAGTGTTCTACATCATTTAATCCCCACAACCACACCCTGAAGCATGTACTATTCTTATCCCCATTACACAGATGAGGTAGGTGGAACATGAGACCTGCCCAAGGCCAAAGAGGTAATAAGGTAAGTGGCAAAGTGAAAATTCAAAACCAAATTCAAGCCTTCTAGCTCAAGTTCATGTTCTCAACCACAAGGCTATAACAGCTATTAGATTAGCCCCTTTCCTTCTCTACTTTTGTTTCTTCCTGAAGACTAAGTACCTTGGATAAAACTTTCAGAGCAGTGTAACTGTAGTGATAGCAAACATCCTTCTCTTGCTATTTTTTTAAAAACTGGATGTCTCTAATTTTTCAAAGTATCACAGTGGTATCTATGGCTTAAAAGGGAAACCTTTTACCATGAAAACATTATAATGTATATTTTCCTAAGACAACCAAAGTTTGGAAGAGGAATGGATCATGAAACGTTATTGAGAAAGACTTCTGTTCCAAAGGTTTATTCTAATCATATTTATAGTATGTAAAATATCAATACTTTCTGGTTTCTGGCCATAGTATTGATGCTGATTTGAGAGAAATCCAAGCATAGTATAGAAACTCTGGACATAGTATTGATGCTGACATAAGAGAAATCCAAGCCTCTACCTAGGCAAGAGTCCATATCTGAAGAATTCAATCAATATCAGATATATGCAAAAAAGTCAATTCAACAAATTGCTTTAAAGATATGTAATAAGTCAAGACAGCTTTAGTGGGAGGCAGATATGCACATTTTATTTAACAAACAATGTACAATGACTAAAAGAACTATATATTCCCAGGAGAATTAAGAATGTGCATATCTGGATTAGCACCTAGAAAGTACATAGAAAAGAATAAAGAAAAAAGGGGAAAGCTCTCTAAGAAAATCATCTGGGCTCATGTTTCTAAGAGCAGATTTTAAGAACAAATTCTCATTGGTATGTGATAGTAACTCATCCCATTCCATATGAACTTGGTGATCAGCTGACTCAGTGAACTGCTTCATGTCTCCAGTGCTTTATGACAACAAATGAGTTAACTTCATGGATTTTATGTGTACATTTAAGGATAAAAAGCTTTATACTTACCCTAGATTTATTCCAAAACTGCTGCACTACAAATCTGCAGTTCACTATTAGCAAGACATGTTGGGAAAGCAAAGGAAACTTTCTTTACTGCTTGTGTGATGTGACCTTGTTCAAGAATGGTGCCCTGAGAATGACAGTTTCACACGTACACTGATGATCCGTAGAAATCACTGATGGGAAGGAGAATCATAAATAGCATATTTAGGTTATGAGAGGCTGCATTAGAAGTTGTTCCACACTGATGGTGATTGTAAAGGCTCACTGAAAGAGATATCGATTAACATTATACAGTGCATTCAATGCAGTATTCTTTGGTTACATCATATAAACCGCCAGGAGAACTCTAGCTTACAAAAGAGACCAGTGGTTCTTAACTCAGACCCCTGCTCACCCTCGAGTAACATTCGGCAACGTCTGAGGATGATCTCTCACAACCTGTGAAAAATCACAGGTGGTGCTACTAGCATCTAACGTGTATGGAGGCTAGGGATGTTGCTAAATATCCTACAATTCACAGGGTAGCCCCCCACAACAAAAACCCTTCAGGCCCCAAATGTCAATGGTACTGAGCTTGAGGAAGCCTAAAAGAGGTTTCTATGACATGTGTCTGGCTTGTCCATAAAGCCAAAAGTGCTCTATGGAAGCAAAAGGTGCCACCGGCACTTCAGCTCTCACTAGCAGGGTCCCATTTATCCCTCTGCCCACTGACCCCAGGCAAGCTCATACATATTTGCTGAATGGATAGAGGAAAGAAGTACGAGAAGCATGGTTCAAAGCCTTCAATTCACTACACTGAATAGCGACTTTATATGACTTAAAATTATCCTGAACCTCAATAGTGTCATAATCTCTAACGCTGTCAAAGTTAGGGTTACCATACTGTTAAAGATGGAGTCAGCACTTCAAGGGGAGTACATTTAAATGTGTCTACATTCACTTTAGTGGGGCAAACCAAGTACAATGGCAAACATTCAATCTACTATTTTAAACTTAAAAAGTGAACACATGAAATGCCATGCACAGCACACACCATTCCTTTTTTTTACATATTTACAATTTTATATACTTATCAATATATCTTCTATCTTTACAATTATAAAATTATTTCAAATTATAGAATAGCGGTACCCTTGAATTCCCTTAAACATACATTTTTGTAGCATTCATTTGTTTTACCCTTAAAGAAGCAATTATTTACCCAAACCTAACCCACACTGACTACCACAAGGAAGCACATAGGAAAACCATGGGAAAAAAATAGATTTAGACAAACTTTTCACACAAGCCTTAAATGAATCTGTATCAGTAACTCAAATAAATAGTACTTTATTATTTACTAAGCTTCCCCTGCCAGGAAAACAAACAAAACAAAAACAATCCCTAGAAACTGTACCTTTAAAAATCCTCTGACATTTATAAACAATTAAGTTATATTCTATATCTCAATCAGTGGACTGTAGTAAGGGCTAGCTACAATTTAGGTTCAAATAAATACTATATCCATATGCATTTTTATCATCCTGCATAAACTTGAGGTTGCAACGGTGGAGGAAGTTTATCATTTTCAACATTTTCAGAGTCAATAGCTGCTAAAGACTGATTTGGGGGCTTAATTTCCAGGGGACATTTCTCAACAATGTCTTGAACCTTTTTTGCAATTCCATCCGTCCAATCTATTAGGTCTTTTTCAAGTTTCTTGGCTTCATTCATAATCCGTTCCTGTCGTTCATTCAGTTGAGATAGGAGATCCAAGTTCTTATACATTTGCTTAACACCTAAACAAGCATCAGGAGACCAATTCTCAGATTCTTGCTTTCTGGGAGATGTCTGGCCAGACATGTATCTATCAAAATCTTCCTGACTTAAATTCAAGGACTGAGCGTCTAATTTCTCAATGAAAGCCACAGCACAGCACTACAAAAAGAAAAGAATATTATTTATTATAGTCATATAAGGAAAGCCACAAATATTCAAACAGATTTTTAAAAATCCTCTTACTACAGAGAATTTAAAACTGAAGCAAAAGTAGATAGAACAGTCTAATGAACCTCCATGGACTTCAGCTTCATAATCTACCAATCACGTTTCCTTTATGTTCTCATGTGAAACCATACATTTCTTCCTTTAAAAAAAAATCTAATTGCCAACTCCCATTGAGCCCAACTGTCAGAAATTCAGTTTTCTACTTAAGCTGTTCAAAGGTGCTAAGGTCTTGAACAGAGTGAAATATTTGAGGAGGCACCTTCAATGTTTGTTCCTCACTGGCTACCACAGAGCTTTCAGCAGACAAAAACTGAACAATTCTTTGATGTCAGAGGCTCTTCGCTTCCCTGGAATCATGTTGTGGCCGGGAGCGCCAGGGCCAAGTATCCGGGGGTCACACACTATAAAACTATTCCCTTTTCTAAAAAAATTATTTATTTAATAATTTTTTATTATAGATTACAGTAACATACATTATTATACTGGCAGAAGTAATGCCTGCTTGAGTGTGGCTGGTAGGGTGATACTATGGGTCTAAGAATTTACAGTTTCAATTTGAACATTTCACCTAAAATGTCATATGGTGTGCTTGACTGTGATATTGTTATGTTACAGAATTACATGCTTATGATTTTGAAATAAAAGATTTTGTAATAAAAATGGGGGTTATTTATGCAGGACCCTGTATTAGTTTCAGGTGTAGACCCCGAGTGATTAGACTTAGTAAGTGATCACCCTGATAAATCTCACACCTATCTGACACCATATATACTTATTAGGCTATTGTTGACTGTATTTCCTATGCTGTACTTCACATACCCGGGACTATTCTATAATTACCAATATCTACTTAATCCCTTCAACCATTTCACCCATCCCCCCAACTGCCTCCCATTTGACAACCATCAAAATGTTCACTGTATCTATAATTCTGGTTCTGTTCTGTTGGTTCCTTTATGTTGTTTTTTTAGATTCAATCGTTGATAAATATGTATTTATGGTTATTTTATTGTTCATATTTTTTATCTTTCTTCTTCTTACAGAAGACCCTTTAATAACATTTTACATAATACTGGGTATAAGGATACTCAATGAACTTAGTGAGGAATTCAACAGCACAAAAAAGTACCAGTCAGAAGTGAAGGATACACTAATTGAAACAAAGATAATTTATAGGTAATCAACAGTAGAGTAGATGGAGCCAAGAATCAAATCAGCAATTTGGAATATAAGGAAGCAAAAAACACCCAATCAGAACAGCGATTAAAAAAAAAGAATCCAAACCGTTCCCTTTCGAGGTCCTGCCAGCCCACAGTGCCCACTGTGGCACACAGATCACCAGTCCTCAGAGGGATATTGTAAATCACATGGTTAAAAAAACATATTTTGAAACAAGACAACCTGAGTTGTCACCTGTCATTTGACAACCAGGAGTTGTGGGATGCTAGGAGAATCACCTAAGCTCTGTGAGATTTCCACATGCGTACAATGGGGGAAATTCCACCCAGATTTATTCTGAGAATTAAACGCAACACATGTAACATGCTTAGTTATTAAGCAATGAATAAATGGCAACAATTATTGGTGTAGAGATACTAGGACAAGCACTCAGTGAAACAGACGTCTGTAAGTTATACTGATTAAATCTTTCTATAAGGAGCACATGCCATTTTCACATTTAAAATAAGCTATTTTCACAAGAAAAATGCGCCCTATAAACAGGGAAACAGGCAGCTGAGAAACTCATTCACAGGATCCTACATTATTAGTCACAAAAAAGCAAATCACCTCTTCAGGAAATATTCAGCAACGCTATTACAAATGATTCATCTGATGAGAACGTGCCCATCTAACCCTTCCAAATGGGTTCAAACTGTGTGAGGACTCACTGAAGCCCATTACCAGGCAAGAGGAGGAAATTAAGACGACCCTAACATTCCTAGTTTAGGTGAATGAATATAGAATATTGCCACTAATGGAAAGAGTGGACAGTTGACCTTTCAACAATGCAGGGTTAGGGGCACCAAGTACCATAAAGTCAAAAATCCACGTGTAACTTTTGAGTCCCCCCAAAATTAACTACTAATAGGCTGCTATTGACTAGATTCCTTACCCATAATAGTCAATTAACACATACTTTGTATGTCATATGTAGCATATACTGTATTCTTACAATAAAGTAGAGAAAAAATTTATTAAGAAAATCGTAAGGAAGAGAAAATTCAGTTACAGTATTTTGCAAAAATCTGCATATAAGTGGACCTGTGCAGTATAAACCCATGTTGTTCAAGGATCAACTATATATAGAAAAGAAAAAAAAAATCTGATGGGGAAGGAGTTTCAATTTTGAACAAATCAAATTTGAGGCAGAGCAAACAGCTCAAAGTGAAGCTCAGTGCAAGGTCAAAACAGGTGACACAAACCTATAGGTCATCGCTGCACAGGTGACCAGCAGAACTGTGACCAGAGGAGAGAGCCTAGGGAGAGAGATGCACAGAGAACAGACCCCCCAGGGAACGACACAACTCAAGAAGTGGACGCAAAGCGTACAAAGAGATGAGAAGGGGTGGAATTGTGGAAGGCAAGGGAACTAAGTTCCAGAACAAAGGAGCCATCGAGAGTGTTAACGTATGATGAAGAGTGAGAGTTCCCCGTGGGGTCTGGCCACTGGCAGATTTCTTCCTTTGGCCAGAGCAGCTTCATTGGAGAAATGGGAATAGAAGCTGGCTGAGTCAGGCAAGAGCAGGATGAAGAAAGAAGGTGCAAACATAGTAAAGGCTGTGGGTCAAGGTGCTGGGAAGCTGGAGTGTCAGCGAACCAGCAACCTCCAGTTTCAACAATGAGGGCTACCCTCAAACATCTCTGGGTCTTGCTTCATTTCCTCCTACTACGATGTCTCTCCTCCCTACTTTTCAGGATTTCCAGATTGTTTAATCCTCTCTAGGTAACTCTAGATAAAAGAGTCGCAAAGTCTCTTTTCCAGTAATCAAGTGCATGTTTCACTTAGGTTAAGAAATACCAGTGCTCTAAACAATACAGCAAGCATCCATTTGGAAAAAGCATTCCCAAGCCCCTCCACCTGCACACCGCACTCCCCAGGCGCCGGCATGGGAACACCAGGGCTGAGGGAGGTGAGTAACAAGAGCAGGCCAGGTTTTGAGGGACACGAAGCTTATGCTTTTGGAAACCCACTTAAAAGGGAAAAAGAGGACAGACAAAATTAGGTACAAAAGTGAATATATATTTAGGATGTAAAAATAAATCACAACAAATTTCTGGAGGTTTGGAGACTTGAGTACCTGCCTTTTTAGACAACATACCAGAAACAATTCCTTATGTCCCCCCACTTCCTCTCCCTATACCCTGCACTACTTCCAGCACAGGGAACAAAGCATACAAGGTGTCTGAGGCTCAAATTTGCAGGCTTGACAGTAAATCTAGGCTAAGCAAATAAGCAGAAGTTTAGCTGTCAGCAAAAAGAAGTATTCAGCCTTATAACTTAGGTATATATACTTTAATATTGTCTTGCCTGGAATCAATTAACACTGTAGCAAAACAACAGCTGAAAATCATTTCACATGCTCTAAACTGGCCTTTCCTTAAAATATCTCAGTATTCAGTTCTCAGAGGTAACTTGTAGAAATAACTGTTAAATCTTTTCATGAAAGGAATCAAAGTGTAGGATCTGACTTATTCATGGTTGAAACCACCCACCTACGTAAATGGCTCTGTACCCAGGGCCCTGTGGAGCAATGGCCAACAGCAGCAGACTCCTCGACGTAGCTACCGTGTTTCCCATAGGAGTACCACAGTCTCTGGTCAAGTGTTGGAAGGTGGGGTGTTTGCATGGCCTGGTCACATGTGCTCTGTGATACCAAACGAGCACCTGCAGTTATGCTGACTCTCAACCCAGAAGCATTACCCTGTCATATCCCTAAAATCACTACCTTCATGGTTCTTCTCCCTAACACCAAAAAATCAAATACTTACCAGATTGGTGAAATAGTAGCCATCCTCTCCAGTCATCAGTCGGCTTGGGTTGCAGAAGCGGGTGATATACTGAATATTAGATTGAAGGCGTGGGGGGTTACCCTTCAAGACAATGTAGATGAGAGTAGGTAAGAAGTCATCGGCTGAAGCCGGCTCATTCTTGGTGATCTTGATGGCATTGAAGATGTGCTTGCTGCACCTGGTGATGCAGGCCAGCTTATCTCTAGGCACACGCTTCGAATCCATTTCGATAATATCTATGAAACAGAAAAGACACTGCTTCCAATGAGAAAATAATTACATAAAAGGCATTCAAACAACCACTTTTTCCTTTTAAGTTGCAGAGGTAATCTCGCTAAGCCCCTCTCCACCAGCTAACTTAGTGTATAAAAACTTGGATCACAAAAACAGTACATACCAGCTCATAGAACACGTGACCATGAGTCCAACTACTTATAAGTTCCAAAGAGAAGAGTCTTAAGTCTTCTTTACTGCTTCTTAATACACTGTAAAACTCAGTTTAGAAATCCTCAATTTGCATACTGCTTTTTAGCAATGTGGCTACTATACAAAGCATCTTTGTACTGGATAGGAAAATACAGCTGCTGAAACCCATCCCACGTCTGTGGCCAATCCTCACAGCACGCAAATCTCCACTAGCAGAGGGGATAAAGCGAGGATATAAATTTAGTCTCATAAACATTTTATTTATCAGAAAAAAAATTTCACTGCTCTTTACTGCCACTAAGTCCAACTGCTACATGCACACACCCATTGTCACAAGGACTAGGAGGTGGTGAGGAAAAGTTGGGTATAAACTCAGTGCTAGGACAATGCAAGCAAGGGGACGGAATGTGCCTTTGGAGGCACATATATGCTTGCCATCTGGAATGCTGTCAAGGAAAATAGCTGAGGCAACTCAATCTAACAGCAATTCTTGCCACAAGCAGGAATAAAAGACTCAGATTTAGGGAACTGGGTGATACGGGCCAGCTCCTATCCCTGAGGTAAGCTACCCAAGGACCCTTACGGGACCACCCGCCACGCTTGGGGGATGGAAACACTGGGCAAGGTAGAGGACTTAACTCATTAACGCTTTTATTCCCTCTACTTACACACCTATTTTGTGAATTATATACTCTTCACTTATTTTATTATTAGTCCCTTTAATTTTGATTTCTGGACTGTAATTACTGTTACTATGTCTCAGTCTATTTTCTTTTTTCTATTTAAACAGAACTTATTACAAAAAAGATATTGGAGAAAATTTTTTTTACTATTTTTTCTCACTTTCATTTACCTTTTTTAGTCCTTTATTGTTTTTTCTATTTAAAACATTTAACCATTTTCTTGTTCATCTTTACTGTTTATGTTTTAAAGTAAATTAAAAATGAATTATTTTTTAATCTGGAGGCATGTGTAGCTGCCACTGCCAAGGGGCAGGGCTAGGAGAACAAACAGGAAGAGACCAGAAGGGGAAAAACCCCCAAATCTAAGGAATTTCCCTGAGACTCTTCATCCTGCAGCAACCCCTCCACCCACTTCCTAATACCCTTCAGCCTGAAAGAAGTTTTCCTGTTGGAACTCTTTTGGACCCACACCCCCCAACATGCAGACCCATGTTTTGCACTGCCCGAAAGTCTAACCTAGGAGATACAGGAGGAAGAACAAACAAAACAGGAAACTCACCATTGTATTAGTTGTTCTAGTAACGACTTCCCTCCCCAATCTGCCTGCTAATATGGTATTTACTTTTCAGAGTTCTCAGACAATTTTTTTGTCTTCTGGCCAAGGCCTTTACTTCTAATGAGTAGGAATGATCAGGTTGAGAGTGGCTACACTATCTTAGCAGATATCCAGACTTATTTTTTTTTCAAGATTTTATTTATTTATTTTAGAGAAGGGAAGGGAGAGAAACATTGATGTGTGGTTGCATCTCACACGCCCCCTGCTGGGGACCTGCCCTGCAACACAGGCATGGGCCCTACACTGGGAATCAGCGGACCTTTGGTTCACAGGTCAGCGCTCAATCCACTGAGCCACACCAGCTAGGACTCCAGACATTTTTAATGGAGTTTTGAAACAAACAGTCTGTACTTCTAGGTTATGTTTTTTCAGCCTGGGCACTATTGACATTTGGGGCTGAAAAATTCTGTGTTGTGGGTGCTGTTCTGCACGTTGTAGGATGTTTAGTAGTAACCCTGGCCTCCATTCTCTAGATGCCAGATGTCAACTAAAATGGGAACTGCCTCAAGCAGCGGTGTTCATAAACAAAACTGATAGTGATGATTAGCAGCGCATGGCATAACTTGGAGAAATTTAACTGGTATCTTCATATTTCATACTGCTACTTTTATTTTAAAAGATGATTATTATGGACTCTCCTCTCTAAATCCTCCTGTACTTAGACTGACAACTTTAGATTAGGAAGAAAGAGATCAGATAACCTTTGGTCCTCACAGAGGCAGAATATGTCTGCACTTGGACTGGCAAAATGTCAAAGCTAAAATGAGAAAGAGTAGAGAAGGTTTTTACAATTCTGTGGCTGAATTTTTACTATCAAAAAGATCTTTTGGAACTCCATCTCAGATGCCTTGAGAGAAAAGTTTTACCTCTTAAATTCTATTAACAAACTGTATGTATTGAAACCCTCTTTCTTAGTCCGATTTTTAAGTAAACAATAGTTGGGTACTTGCAGTTTCTGGATTTGCAAGGGCTTTTCAGAAAAGAGTCTCAACATAAATCCCTACAGAGTATTTAAACATAAACCATTTGGTCTTGAGCTTGATAAAAGTCTAAAAGGTCCGCATCCAGGCTTTTGAGAGGCTGTCACCTTCACCATCTTACAATGTACCCAGAGTAAACGGTAGGAATTGGGGCAGGGGTGGGCCCTGACCCAAAGATCTCAGCTCCCTGGCCCTATGACATAGCCTGGCAGGAGAAGCTTTGAACAATCACAGTGTTTAGCTACACCAATTAGACTCTACATGGGAAATTAAAGACTAGTTCATTTAATAACAGGCATCGACATGCAAAAATATACAGAGAAGCAGAACCTAAGAAAGTGGAAAAGAATCATGTTAACAGCGGATAACCCAGTCTCTAGAGAGGCCCTGGAGCTATTTCAGTGAATCCTGCCTCACCTTTAAGCCTGATAACATCTTAAGCAAATCCCCATTTCTTCCTGTTACTTAAGTGAGTTTCTGATTCCTGTAACTACAGGAACCTACTTAACAGCCTGCCTCCAACACTGCTACTATCAGCTGGTCCACTCTCCGTCCCAGCAAAGTTTCATTAGCAATCTTTAAGTGAGCGAGTCTTTCCAACTCTTCTTCTTAATGAAGGAGAAGTTGGCCGGGGTTGAATGTCTTCTCCCTTAGGAGTTTTTCTGTTTTTGTTTTTTAAATATTTGTGTTGCACTTCTGCTGGATTATTCCTATTAATAAGAAAAACCTTATTAGGTGCCTGGACCTGCCCAGCAGGGCAGAGCCACATCAGCTTAGGGCACTTCATATACTTCCTGAGCAAACCAGAAAAGTAATTCAAAGCACATCTTTGATTAACAACCAATTAGAGGCACCATTTTAAAATGTTAACTCTAGCTTGGGGATTACCTTGCCTCACCAATTCCCTTCCTCTTTCCAATCTTATTTTGAATACATAAATGCAACTGAGTTCTAAGAAATTTACCTTAGCTGTGTTTGATCTTAGTTTAGTTCAATATCCAAGGAACAAGAGACCTGAGTCATGAATAGTGAAGAAAAAAGTAGCTTATCTGCTAATCAGAATGCTTTAAATTCATAAAACAAACTCTTGCAAATCACTTTCACCATATTCCAATATATCTCTGGTAGTCAGTATTTCAGAAATAATTTACTATCTTTTTGATCACTGAAATAAGTATGGGTTCATAAAACATAATGTTAACTGCAAGGGAAAAACATCCAAATATAAATGTTCTCAGTTTCACTGACCTGTAATTGCTTTCACCACCATATCAGACACTTCAGGAATTTCTTCATTAACAGGGACACAAAGCATCTGAGGTGTAACCCAGTGCAGGGCTCTACAAGAGAGAAAGACAATAAAAAAAGAGTTCGAAGAATGGACTATAGTTATTTATCCTGTCATTTCTTTTAGTTACAGGAAAATAAGGGACACCACTGACTAATTAGGCAATCCTAGGCTCAAGCACATCACCCCTGCACATATCAGGAGCTCAGCAGATGTGCCAAAATAACGAGAATCCTAAAATGAGGCTTCTCTTCTGCACTCATCACAAGAAAAGCATAAGATAGTTTTATTGGTTGTAATGAAATCATACTAAGTCTGAAAAGAACTAGGTATTTGAGAATGATGATTTGAGAAGAACTTGCTGTTAGGTCACAGCTAGGAATGAGCAGCCTAAGGGGAAATAAAGGCAGGGCCTCTGCCATTACAATCCAACAAAAAAGGAGGCTAGAAGCAACAGGAAAACAAATCTCACCAATTAACTCAGCAGTCCTGGGCTCGGGTTGGTAAGATTGCTGGGTGTCTGGAGTATTCCAAGCAAAACAGCACAGGAGAAGGTAATAGTCCTTGAGACTAGGCTGGGAAAGGGGGCCTCTGCAATAACTTCACTAAGACCAAGAACCTTTACTGAGAAAGAAAGCCTTTGTAGCTGTGTACTATTCCCAAAGGGAAGAAGAAGGGGAACCTAGAAGCCAGCTGAGGTATATAACCCCTGAACCCCAAGAGTTGATGTACTTACATTAGCTAGGTACCCACTTGTAGCCTCAGCTCAACTATACAGAACTTACTAAGAAACTTACTAACAAATTTATGGGTGCCTGCTTGCAGCTTTGTGCTCATACGTGTTTCATAAATACACTTGCTATCTCATTTCCAATATATGTGTTTGTCTCTCACTTGAATTATTCTCTTGCAGCAAGACAAGAACAGAGGCAGGGGAGGAAAGCCTCCTGACTCGGGTCTCTCTCCCCCCACCCATAATACTGCTGCTCCATGTCCTCATTGTCGGCCACCATTACAGTCTTTTAGGCTCTGCCCTCAACTTCTGAAGCCTACCAAGACTTGTGTGAGGCGACAAGCACGTCACCTCAGTCTGAATCATTGATCCAATTGTAACTTCGTTCCAGAGATTCTGCTGCCTATGTTCACCACACGCTTGATTACTGCTCTCACCCTCAACCTCAGTCCAAAGCCCATCTACTTACTTCTGGTCCATCTTCCATCTTCTCAACATCAACTTCTCACTTCTCGTGGGACACCACGGAGTCCTAATCTACCAATCACCAGCCCCATTGTCCAGGGATCCCATATGAAATTCATTGGCCCCTCTCCTTCCGAAAACACCTCCTCCTGCTCAGCCTTTTTGTGGTTTCCAAATTTGATAGCCTATTTTCTAAGTGTTTTGCTGCCACTGGAATGCAAAACACTGAGGCTCACCCTACTGGCCATGAAAGATGGGGCGTTCTGCAAACTATTATCAACCCAGCGCTGGTGGAAAGACGTGACTGGAGGAAAGGCTGAACAACAAGCACCACTCGTAGAGATGAGGAAAAATGATACCCAGTGCCTTAATATGGATATTTATAGCTTCCTGCCTGACAAGATAGGTAGTACAGTGAAATGAGAAAATAAAGAAATGCCCTCCTTAGACAATTTGGAATTTTTAAACAATTTGAAAATTAGAAATAGTTTGTACCTAATGCTGCTTGGAGTCAAATGAATAAGCAAGACGGTGATTTGAGCTCTTTCCTCCTATCAATGTACCATATTCCTTTTCTTTCTGACACCACAAAGGAGCTCATATGCTAAGGATGGCAGGCACCTTAGCTGTTACTTGCTCTCAAGGTCTGAACTTCAAGTGCCCTGTTTTCCCACAATCTGTTCTTCCAAAGATGGTAGTAAACACAGTAATAAATTAAGTGCCTCCTGATTGACAGTTTTACTTTCCACAGTTTCAGTTACTCATGGTCAACTGTGGTCCAAAAATACTAAGTGGAAAATTCCAGAAATAATTCATAAGTTTTAAATTGCTGTTCTGAGTAGTGTGATGAAACCTCACGCTGTTCCACCTAAGATGTGAATCATCCCTTTCTCCATTGTATCCACATTGTATAGTCTACCTGTCCATGAGTCACTGAGTACAGTCACTATGTAGCTGTCTCGGTGACCAGGGCAACTGTTACAGTATCACAGTGCTTGTGTTCCAGTCACCGTTATCTTACTTAATAAGGCCTCAGTGCACAAATGTAGTGATGCTGGCAATTTGGAAATGCCAAAAAGAAGCCATTAAGTTCTTCCTTTAAGTGAAAAGGTAGAAGTTCTCAACTTAGTAAAATATATTGGGAGAGAAAGACCCCATTCGCTTAACTTTTATTACAGTACATTGTTGTAATTGTTCTGTTTTATTAGTAATCATTGTTAATCTCTTACTGTGCCTAATTTATAAATTAAACTTTATCATAGGTATACGTGTATAGGAAGAAAAAGTATAGATAGGAGTTTGGTACTATCTGCAGTTTCAGGTGTCCACTTGGGGTCTTGGAACAAATCCCCTGCAGAGAAGAGGGGACTACTATACAATAAGACAAAGCAAAACCATTAACTACCTGATCCTCTTTTGAATAGCGAGATCTTTCTTCTCATCATCAGTAGTTTCTGGACAGAACACATACTTATAGAGACGAGTCATGATGTACTTTTCAATCTGATCCATTATCTTCTCAACTCTTTCTGGAGACACTGAAATATCCACATGGATACAAAAGCTCAAGATAAGGATGGACATTTAAAATTAAGACTATGTTTTCATAGTACTTTCTACGTACAAGAAAACTACTGTGCTAAAAATGTATAAAACACATCTCCAAAGAAAAGTATTTTATGTTACACTGAAAAATATCTTTTAAAAAATTACCTCACCTTTGGGACTGCCTTTTACAGAATCCCCACTTCTAACTTAAGCTGGTCTGGCAGGACCTAACAGGGGAAGACCTCAGCACGGGTCACTCTCTGTTGCTACTGGGTTGGCCAAAAAGCCCATTACATTTTTTCCATAAAATAAGAAACATTTTTCATCTTCACCAAAAACATTGATTTGGATGTTTTCAGTATGTTGGCTATGGCCTTCTAGTGAGTAAAGGCCAGGGGTGCTGCTAAATGTTTTCGAAAGCACAAGATAGCCCAACAGCAAAGAATTATTTGGCCAAAATGTCAATAGTAACCAAGAAACTTTGCAAACCACTTTTGACATGTTTGATCAGTCACAGAACCTTCTCCATATACTGAACATCTTTTTTATTGTTTCAGTTGCATTTTTACCTTTCTTGAAATAATGAAGCATAATACATCAAAAATGTTGCATATCTTCTTCCATCTTCAATATTCAAAAAGCTGCACAAAAATTCACCAATTTTGATGTTTTGTTTTAAATGCATGCTGATATGACAGCTGTCACAATATAAACTAAGAAAATTGTTTTGAATGAAGTTAAAGACAACTAAGAGCTACTAGAACCATCATACAGAAAAAAACGTAAACGAACTTTTTAGTCAACCCAATACATTAGAGAAGCACTTGAAATTCCCAAGACTGATGAGTGCTGGCAAGACTCACCCTTTACTTTTCTAAGGTTTACTATAAAACCTTAGAGATCTCTCCAAAGTAGATATATGGGGCAGATTTCTCAGACATACATGTATGCTAAATAAATCCTAACATCTAACACCTATGGAAGTCAAATTTAAGAAGAATCCCTAAAAAACTCAAAGCTCCGGATCAGTGGTTTCCAATTTTTTTCCTGCCCCAATCCATAAGGAGTATATTAATCATGAACAAATAACTCACCAAGATGGCAATTCCAAAATGGGGTTTCATTTAGAAGCCTCCGAAAGAGCTTTAATTGACTCTGCCCTAACCCCTAATAAAGTTATTAAACATTGCTCTGATTGTTTTGAAACAATACACATGGTGGTAAGCAAAGATACTGCCAAGGACCAGACCAGTTACCAAAATGCTGGAGTAGTTTATGGGATGGGGTACACCAGCCAGGCCTTCAGAGAAAGAGAGAGCCTGCTCAGAGACTCAGCAGCCTGGCCCTGTGCAACTACCAGCAATCCCTCCGTCTGGGCTGGGTAACACAGTATTACCTTTTCCACGAGTCTGCATTCTTTCAGCCACACTCTGGTAAAAGTCCTGAGTACACTCTGACTGTTCCTCGATGCTCAAATCCTGAAACAAAGGGACAAGGAGGCTACTTGGTAGCTGAAGCAAGATCAGGAGTAAAGCTTTAAATTTTATAAAGTCACCAAAACCCACTCCTTAAACTGCTACTAATCTCAAAAAGTACTTACAAATTATATTAACTTCGCAGGGAAGAAAACCTATTCATGAATATTAATTATAACACCCATGACCTCTCATTTCTTTTTACAGTATATACATATTCTTGAATGGCTATAATGCATATTTTGATAATTTACATGTTTATGTATAGTTCTACTTATCTAATCCACTTAACCATTTTTGATGGCTTTATATTTTACAAGTATTAACCAATTTTTAAAACCATCTTCTACCACTGTGCATTTGGATTCCTTCCCTTTTACCACTATTATATATTATAGCTATAAATAATTATATGAAAACTGTTTCTTTTGGGTTATTTCTTTGTGATACATTTTCAAAAGTGGCATTAATAGTTTCTAAGTATAAACAACAGTATAAACAACAATATAGCCTTGAGTATCTATTGCTAGATACAATCCTCAGAAACTGCGATGTAGTCACATGTGTGCTTATTTCTCCATGGCCCCTACAACTTTGGGCTTTATAATTTTTATTTGGTTTTTACTGATCTTTATGGATAAATACATATATTTATTTCCTACTTTCTTTTAAAGAATATGTGACGTCTACATAGAAGACAAACACAGTTCAGCACAAAAAACTAGGTAAAAAAACAAAAACAAAACATGGATAGAAAAAGAAAGCAGAGCCAGGATATAGGTAAACATGGCTTACATTCATGCACAACTACATCAAAATTACACCTAAATTACAGAACAACCATCACTCAAAACCATCAGAAGTCAAGTTGAATGGAAATCTGACAACTACAAAATTAAAGAAATCACATCCATCTAGCCAGGTAGGAGGGGCAGAGGTGGAATGGGCTGGTCCCATATCCACATGTGGTGGATAAAACTTTGGGAGGGATATCTCAGGAGTGAGGAGTCCCTGCTCCACACCAGGCCCCGCAGCCCTGGGTTCCAGTGTCAGGAAGATAAGTCCCCACAACTTCTGGCTGCAAAAACCAACAGGGATTGAGTTGGTGGAAGAAACTTCTGGAATCCCAAACAGTTCCTCTTAAAGAACCCACAAGTGAACTTAAACTCACTCTCTCTGAGCTCCAGCACCAGGGCAGCAGCTTGAAAGGCACCAGTGGCATTATAGAGAGAATCTGAAGTGTCCAGCATCAAGGTGAGAAGAGGCCCTTTGCTGAACTCTCCCCACACAGAGCCACAGAGCCAGCCGGCTGGTGCCACATCTGAGACTATCAACATGGCTAACACTGTTTGCTCCACCCTAGACATCCCTGGAGACTCAGTCCCACCTTATGTCTGTAAACAGTGGCTTTTCCACATGAATGGCTGGTCTTGGCTCAAGCTTCATAACTTCCTAAATCCTTTCAAACAAGCAATAGATGGTCTTTGTGAATCCCCAGTCCCCAAACCTTTTGCTAAGTGGTCCCAAGCATAGCACTAGTAGCAAGCAGCCAGCCTAGATTCACAGCTTGGCTACATCTGGGAAACTCCAAGCCCAGCACAAGTAGTAGCCATTTCAGATTGCTCTATAGCTCGGGCAGGGTGGCCCCGGACATAACACAGGTGGGGACTGACCTTGGCCTGCACCCCCCAGGAAACCCCAGGGCCTGCACAGCCAGTGGACACCTACAGACCACATCGGAGCAACGCCACCCTGCCCCTGCACAGCTGATCCTCCAAGGAGAGCAGAGATTAGTGGTCTGTAGTCACAGCTGATCCTTGCAACTGACTGCTGGATAAATCCTTCCCATCGATCTGTCAACAGCAATTAAGGCTCAACTACAAGAGGAGGGTGTACTCAGCTCATACAAGGGTGTACCTCAAGTACCCAGACTGGATGAGAGGGGGGAGGCCTGTGGCACTGGGCCCTACAGGACACCTACTACATTAGGCCACACTACCATGAGAGGGAGTCATAGCAGTTCTACCTAATACATAGGGAGGCTGCCAAAATAAGGAGACAAAGAAACATGGCCCCAAAACAGATCAAAACTCCAGAAAAAGAGCTAAATGAAATTGAGATAAGCAATCAATCAGATGCAGAGTTCAAAACACTGGTTGTAAGGGTGCTCAAGGAACTTAGTGAGGGCCTCAACAGCATAAAAAAGGTCTAGTCAGAAATGAAGGATACAGTAATTGAAATAAAGAACTTACAGGGAAACAAGAGTGGAGTGGATGAAGCTGAGACTCAAATCAACGATTTGGAACATAAGGAAGCAAAAAAACAACTAATCAGAACAAGATGAAAAAAGAATCCAAAAAATATGAGGATAGTATAAGCAGCCTCTGGGACAACTCCAAGAGGTCCAACATTTGCATCGTAGGGGTGCCAGAAGAAGAAGAGAAAGAGCAAGAAATTGGAACTCTACTTGAGAAAAAAATTTTAAAAACTTCCCTATTTGGTGAATGAAACAGACATGCAAGTCGAGGAAGCACAAAGAGTCCCAAACAAGATGGATGGAAAAAGGCCCACTCCAAGACACATATAATTAAAATGCCAAAGGTTAAAGATGAAGAGACAATCTTAGAAGCAGCAAGAGAAAAAACAGAAAGTTACCTACAAGGGAACTCCCATAAGACTGTCAGCTGACTTCTCAAATGAAACTTTGCAGGCTAGGAGAAACTGGCAAGAAATATTCAAAGTCATGAAAAGCAGGGACCTACAGCCAAGACTGCTCTACCCAGCAAAGATAACATTTAGAATCAAAAGCAGATAGTTCCCCAGACAAGAAAAAACTAAAGGAGTTCATCATCACCAAATCATTATTATATGAAAGGTTATAGGGACTTATTTAAGAAAAAGATGACGATCCAAACCATGAACAATAATATGGCAATAAATACATATCAACAATTGACTTAAAAAACAAACTAAGCAAACAAGAACAGAGACAGAATCATGGTTACAAAGAGTATTTTAATGGATGCCAGATGGCATGTGTAGGGAATGGGTGAGGAGGTGAGGGGATTAAGAAGTACAAATAGTTACAGGATAGCCATGGGGATGTATAGTACAGTAGAGGAATTGGAGTAGCCAGAGGACTTATACATATGACCCATGGACATGAACCATGGTGAGGGAATTGCCTGAGGGAGTAGGGGGTGCTCACTGGAGGGGGCGTTAAGGGGGAAAACTGGGACACGTAATAGCATAATCAATAAAATATAGTTAAAGAAAAAAGTAGAGCCAGGAATGATAACACAAAAAAGTATTCCTTATAAATACAAAACTTAGTCAACAGTCAATCCCTAAATGTCTCTAACTAAACTTTCTAGCAATCATCACTAAGATGAAAATAGTCACATAATTAAGAGTCTAAAATATAAAGGCAAACATTCTTTAGGTGGAATTCTAACACCAAAATCAGAAACTTCTCCCCAGGGTTCTCGTAACAATGTCACTGTAGAAAGGCAGATTCCAGAGGACCGTTTCTCATAGACCGCCTCTGCACAAACCAATGCCAACATACAAGGTCTGACTATGAAGTATCCAGCCACATAATATGAAAAATAGACATTTATTGAAGATACAAAATGCAAGAAACATTGTACATAGGACAGTGATGCCTCAGTACCCCTCAGAGTAGGCCCCCTGAGACCTCACACAGTCGCCATCAGCTGCCCTATCGTATTTTCCTGAATCTCATTGATAGGCTGAAATCTCTTCCCCTTCAAAGGTGATTTTAGTTTTGGAAAAGTCAGGAGTCACAGGGCACCAATCTGTGCTATAAGAGGGCTGAGTCACCTGGGTGACTTGGTGTTTCACCAAAAAACCCTGCACGAGACGTGATGCATGAGGGGGTGCATTGTCATAATGAAGCTGCCAATCGCGAGTTGCCCACAGCTGCGGCCTTCGGAATCATTTGAATAGTTTCCACAGAGAAATGTTCAAAGTTAACGCAAAATTTGATGCAGATTCGTTGTTTTACTTGCTCACTTTGAATGTGATGGCCACATGGTACACATGCTCACTCCACTGACTAGTACAGCAAAGCTGTCATTGCTCATTCAAGTGCATTCCAGTCCACTCTCCTTGGCTGCCAGGTTATATCAATGTCGCGCAAACCATTCTTGTTATATTAACAACAGCTGGACTTTTTCTGGACAGACCTCATACACCAAGGGCTGATAAAGCACTGGTAAAGCATGCACACCCTGACACTCTGGCTTAACTCAAAAAGGATGTCTTGGCATCAGGAGCAGTGACAAACCTTGCCTTAGCTGCCTTTACAACATCTCCTCCTTCCATTCTCTCCTAGTTTGGGCCTTCGTTGCTTCTCACCTGCTCAGCTGCTCTCCCCATCTTTGATCTCTCTCACTTTCAATCCATCTTTTACACACCACAGTCCAACTGATCATGTTAGATTATGATCTGGTGACACTGTGCCTCAAACCTCCAATGGTGGTTCATCAGATGGATGCTGTCTTCAAAAGCTGTCCGAGAAAGTCCTCAATAGTTATCACTTTTTAGGCTCAGTTCATACCTTATCTCCTCTAAGTAGCTGTCTCTCATTCCCTTAGTTAAAAAAACAAAACAAAAAAAAAAGCAAAACAAACAAACAAAAAAACCCACCTTGTAGGTCTCACAGCACTTACGGCACTCTGTGACCACCTTTGACAACAGCTCATTACTGTCTGAGTTATTTATGTAACAGCCATTTGGTTGAATTAGAATTGATCCTTTGTCTAATAAGGACTAGGTACTAGCCTTAATACATTTTTAACGTTAAGCCTTCGTTTATATTCACCACAATTTCCTACTGTGTCCTTCCACTTTACGGGACTTTAATTTTTCATTGCACAGATGTTGAAAAGTTAATAGCATCCAATATTTCACCTGGTTATTAACAATTTTTTTTTAAGAACAATTCTTAAATGGTTCAATGTTAGCTCCTTGCCACAATT